TGTCCGCGTTTTTTTTTTTTTTTTTTTTGTGGCTTAAATAGAAACTTTTTCAGCCAATTTCCTTGTCGAAATATTTGTTTCTTTTATTTTTATTTTTATTTAACGTGTTACCTTTTAGATTAATTATAACAATATTCCACCACCTTGTTTTAACCCAACAAGGAAAAATCTCAAAAAAAAGAAAAAGAAGTAGGTAAGTATTATTTAGTGATTAAATTATCAAAGCATGAATTATACGATCTTAGAAGTTAAAAGTTAGGCTGAGCTTGTCATGTAATTAGAGGGTGTTTGGATTGGCTTAAAAGCACTTTTGAGCTTGTTTCAGTTATTGGCTACTATCAAAACAGCTTTTAAGCCAAGTGTGTTTAAGCCAAAACAACTTAAAACAAGCCAAAAGTAATAAATTGGTCTACCCCAACTTAATACTTTTTGGCTTAAAAGCACTTGAGGTTTGACCAATCCATTTACCTTATTACCCTTACAATTATATTATTATCTCTAAAACCGTCCTTCCCTCCCGACTTTCTTTCTTCCTCCTCCTGTCAATTATGCTGATTCCATTCTTTTGCTGTCCACTGATCCACTCATTGTGATGGGTTACTTGAAATATTACCCAATTGTTTTTCTCTTTTTTCTTTCAATTGATACTACTATTTAAACATTTAGTTGTTAATAATCAAACAGTTCACATTTGAGCGTGAGTAGGTATATAAATAATAAACCGATCTCCTCTTCTAAATCCTTGCTTACAGATTGCATAAAGAGCTATCGATTGGTTATACAGCTAATTAACTTTTTTAGTATGTCATATAGCTATCATTATGAACATTTACTTGCAAACTTTAGTAAAATTATTACTTATTTTATGTTATTTCTTATGTTTATAGTTTAAAACAATCGATAACTTAAAGTGAATTGAGACATTAATTAATTTGTATTTGCATCAATTTAAAAAGAAAATATTGCAATAATCTACTCTTTTTAGTGTTAACAGCTTTAAGGCATTTTAGTCATTTTAATAAATAAATAAATAAATAAAGTGTTTATTAGCATCTTTTACCAAACACATCAACTGCTTAATTTAAGTTTCAGCACTTCTATCCAAACATGTAACTGCTTATTTACAAATTACGCTCCAACACTTGAAAACTGTTTTTAAGCCCAGCTACTTAAATTCAGTTAATCCAAACGGACTCATAATCTATTTCTTTCTATGTTCTGAATATTCTTTCCTATAATTTAAGCATTGCCAGAGTCAAATATTACGAATTTTAACTAAGATATATCCCTTAAGACTACGTTTATATATCTTTAGAAAATAAGTAAACTATTTAAATGTTTTCCATGTAATTATTTCTTAATATCTAAAAATAATTTTCAATTGGTTCGACGTCCTTTCATTTCCTATTGACATTGAAAATTTGTTACATCCACTCTAGAAAAGTTCAAAGTGTGCAACGTATAATTTGAAATACAAACAATTTTTATGTTGCATTTTATTTCTTCCCAAAATATTTATAGGAGTAGTTTTTTCTTATAAGGGAAACAATAATCTTGATATACTTAAATAGAAGTACCATAAGAAGGGGAAGTTGAGCATTAAACAAATATAATGTATATCGATCTCAGCAATGGCATAGTAACAGAAGGCCGCATGCTGGGAGCTGATGACAATATACCAAGGCATCAGCTCATCTTAAATAGACCTGCAACAGTTAATCGCCTGAGAAAATGGAATGTAGATGTATGTTCCATGTGATTGTGTACTATATATGCAGCAGGGCAAAGGGATATGAAACTTTGAATCACCTCTTCTTTGAGTGTGATTATGCTAATTAGTCAATATGCATGGGCCACATTGTTAGCTAGATTGGATGGGTGAAAATGAAATACATTCTATTGGTTGTTGGAACATTCAAGTGCAATGACTAGCTAACAAAGAGAAAAAACAATAGCAGGCCTAGAGCTCGTATACCGATCTTCTTATTTTCAGCTACACTATACTCTACTTGGACTCAGAGGAACATGCGCACATCCCATAAGCAAAAGACTGATTATGCTCCAAGGGTCAGAGAGAGATATATAGTACTGCAGCTGCTGCATATTAAAGGTCAACAAAAGAGTCAATGGAAGAGTTTATTAAAAAAGATGAATAGTTTTACTCTTTAAGCCTTGTATAGGAGAAAGCATGACTAGCGATGATATAGTGTTGTAAAAGTTGATTCACCAGAGAGAGTCTAACTCTAGAGTCCAATGAGTTAGCGGATCTACATATTTATACTTAGTTAAATATAAAAATCTCGTTTGACCAAAATAAATAGAGCACCTTTAGAGTTTTAAGTACAAGACGATTCCGATGACATAAGGAAGCAAAATATCGCCCCACGTAGGATGTGAGGCTCATCAATACATCTCCAACCATCAAAACTTATCCCCATCGTGTTCACACTAAAATATGAACATAAGATATATATTTTGTATTTACGCTTAATTAATTAACTATATATGATATCAAGTGATATGCATTTTCACTTTAGTATGTGGATTTTTAAAGTTAATTATTTAATTAGGTGTAAACACCCTATGCAGGTCTGTACTAAATTTAACTATCTAACATGTTTTAGCAACTTCAAAAAAAAATGTTTGAAGAGGTTTTAGGCAAATAGTCCACATTGTACAGAATCTCTTATCTAATGATCATTATATGCTTTCCCATAGAAAAACATACCATGATCTTGTAACTCCTCCCAAAATGTTAACAATTTTATAACCATGCTTACATGGAAAGTAATACAGCTTTTGAAACATGTCAAATGTCTAGCTTTTATGAACTTACTAATAAGATCGATTATTGAAATTTGACACCATAATCTACGTACTATAGTTTTATACTATGTAAAGGTAATAAGCTTTATAGGTAAATTATTTAACAATAAAGCCTTAATGGCATTTGCTACCAAAAAAAAAAGGGAATTAGCTATAAATTTTGTCTCTATATCGCTCGTAGATAGGATTAGCGACAGATTTTTCTACTTGGCCATAAAATTTGTCCGTCGTTAATTTCTATCTTTTAGGTAGTGTTTTGAAATGAGAGAATTACAAGAAAATACACATGACTTCACACCATAACAAAAAATGACCCATGTTTTTAAGTTTTACCCCACCTAGCCCACATTGTACATATTTTGAAAGCACTTGCAAATTCAAAATATATGTTTTTACAGAAATTGCTTCTAAAAGCTATGGAGTTAATTCTTTGTTCTCACAACTATTGCTTTCACTCTCTCTTCTTCTCACATCTTTTAACATATGTTTCAAAGGACCGTGTATTTTCTGCTTCTCCTCTTGTGTCACCTGCTTGCAATGAAAGAAAATTGAAGAGTAGAAGTCCACCATTGAAGATAATTCAAAGCTTTGCTTTTGAAAATGGGTTGTTTTGAATTTGTTAGTTGTTTGGATTGGGTATTGTTCCAATTGATTGAAAATATCAAAAGGAGTATAAAATTTAAATTTGAAGTGATTTGGAGTAGATTTGAGCAAGATTTGAATTAAATTTCAGAAAAGACGAAGTCAGTTTTTGTATAATTATGTATAATCTTGTATAATATTGTCTATGAGTGTAGAAACACACCTTATACACTGTTATACACTTTTATACACCTTTATACAAGCGTCTGTAGACGAACTTCTTCCACGATTTTCAGTTGCAATTCTTATTCAAAACCAGTCCAAATCTCCATTAAATGACTTCAAATTTTATATACAACCTCCTTATACTATTTCTAACAAGTCTAAATAACACCCACTCCAAATTTTTCATAAAATCAAATTCGAAATTTAAACACACATATTTAAGCTTGTTAAAAATCTAATTTTCACCACCCTAATGAAGTTGGTTTGTTGAATTAATATTTGAGTCACAATTACTGATTCGAAAAGTAATTTAAAAGCTTGAGGAATCTTTTTTAAAAATTAAATAGTAATTTTGAGAACCTATTGGAGTTGGATGTTGAATCTTAGCCTATTATTTATGGGCTAGTTGGTTGTAAATTAAAATATGGGCTATAAAATTGAAAAGTATGAAGCCCTGTTGTTCTAATGTGAAATTTTCCCTTTTGAAATTGGTTCACGTTTAGTTTTTTTCCTTCATAATTAACATTTAGCTTTTGGAAAATTAATTTATATATATAATTACACACACTATATGGGAGAGTAAGCAAGTGTCCTCACTCATGTTTGCGAATTTCTAATAATCATTTGCCGGTTTTGTTAAAAGAAACCATATATATAAAAACACAAACAAAATTTTGAAATTTGCCCTTGAAATATTCAACTTATCTTATATTTATTCTCTATTTACCTTTCGATCATCAAAGTCCCGCACTATTAATCTCTTTCATATTTTGTTCCTCTCGTAATTAAGGTTCTCCATCTTGAATTTAACATTTGCCACGGTAAATCCATGTAAACAAACAAAAAATCCAAATTTACTCCTAAACAATTAAATTTCTTTACATGTACCATCTACAATAATTTATTGTATGCTCTGAATAATTAAAATCATCCAAATATATCCTAAAAAAATGTCCCAATATGCACCTACGTGCTTCCATTGTAACATTCAAATCAAATCAATATTTTCATGGTAGAACACCGTTAGTGAAATGGGAACATTTGAGACGAAAAATGAGGATTTTTATTTTATCGAAAGATAAATATAAGACAAATTACAAATGTTAAATGTATAGTATTTGAAATCCCCCCCCCCCCCCCTAATTTTAACACAAGAAAATGTAGAAACGCATTACAGTGTTAGATCATGCGCACGTGCATTTACTGTAACTCCACGTAAACTGTTGCTAGTGGGCATATTCCCATAAATAAGTACACTCCACTCCAAATATCATCCCTAAAAATCTGTTAAGCTCTCTGTCACGACTTTTAACCATGCCTCCTCCCCCCTGTTTTTTCCCCTCCATCCTGTAACGTTCACACACCAGTCGGCTATATTCTCCACGTGTCATGATCTCATTCGTCTCTTCTATCTATAAAATAACCTCCTCCCTCCCTCGCCTCACCGTCACCGAACGCTCCTCTCTCTCTATATATACATATATATCTCTGCAGATGTAGAGATAACTGAGTCTCAGATCTGTATGTATTGCCGTGTATATATATAAACATCTCTATTTATCTGTGTGGAGGAGTTTCCATTTGTTGCGGCGGTCTCTAATTCGCTTGGTGCAGGTCGGGAACCGACTCGCCGGTGACGCTGGCCGCGCTGGAATCGGCGGCGTTAGTTTCATTGATATTTTGTTTGTATCTATCGATATGTAGAGAGCTCTCTATTTGTTAGTAATTTTTTTTGTTGAAATTAACTTGATATACGTATAGATAAGTAAAGAGTGTTTACCCCCGGTTGGTTAAGTAATAGATATGTAGAGAGTTCTTTTTTTTTTTAATAGATTAGTTATGTATGAAAGTGCGCCTCGTCTATGGCTAAGTTTGTTCCCGCCTTGCATCAACTGAATCGGTGACCGCGGTGAATCTGAATATCTTTGGGTCGATCTATTCTCCGCTACACGAGGTTCGTTTTTCATTTATTTTGATTCAAATATTTGCATACATTTTTATCTGTATCGTGTGAGTGTGTTTGTTTCTTCTCGATTTTTTTTAATTTTTTTTTTCTGTTGTGTAACTGATTGGATTTATCTGGATCTAGTTGTATCTATTGATGTGTGCAGGCTCGCGCTCCCAGCTTTGTTTATTTGTCCTTTGGATGATCGAAGAGTTGGATGTGCTTGTATACTAAATGTGTGAAGTTAGTTTTTTTGTTCTTCCTTCCGTTTTAATGCTATTTTTGAATTGATGAAGTTTCATTAAAGATAAGAGTTGCGGAGAACAGGCATAATAATTTAGAAATCCACTGGAGATTGCCATGGATTAATCGTGCATGTTTGATGTGTAAGAGAAGGTTGTGCTTCAATAGCGAATGTTCAAAGTGAACAAGTTTAGTAACGTTGACAGCTTTGATGAATCATAGATTGGAATTATGGATTAATGTTGGAATCTAACGTGTTTTCAAATGAAGAAAATTGAGTCTTGAATTGTTATTGACGAATTAGAGAGTTTCTATAATTATTTATGTTTATCTGGATCTAAGAGATACTAGTGCTGAATGATGGATATTTAAGTTTGAAATTTCTGTATTTTCTTTCTGCCATTGATAAATCGTAAGTTGGAGTTTGAACACCAGAAGTTTTCTTGTTCACTCTGTTTCAAATGACACCTGACGCAGCATTAATGTAGCTTCTGGCCTATTAATACAGTAATCTAGATAAGATATGAAAATGTAGATCCAGAAGGTAAATTATGCTGTGGTCGAATGTGCAGTCTGCACTGTAACTACAAAAGATTTCAAATTGATGGTGCATTTTTTAGTTTAACATTGCGCACACAATTTATTGGATACTTAAATGGCATTAACTGCCTCCATCTTCGTCTTGTCATCACCTTCTTTGGCTAAGTTCACAGAGGGAAATAATAATTGACAATTTCTCCAAGTCGCAGTTAATGTTTTTAATGAGAGTTTCTCATTCTAATTTTAGTTGAAATTCACTATTTTCTGTTGTGTTTGAAGGGTCTTAATAACCCAATATCGGTTGAGGGCTGAGGGACACAATTGAAGATCTTCCAACTGCTTGTTCATTTGTTTTGTGCTCATTTAAGTTTGTTTACATAGTAACCTAATAAATTAAAAATTGCATTCTTATCACAACTGAGAAGTTTTATACGTGAGGACAGCCTGGCAGGTGTGTTTGATTGATGTAATAGTCATATTGAGGAATTCATGTTGGGGTTTTCAACGCCATTTACTCAACTGAGTTGAGGAGAAAGATAATTTGGAGGTGCCACAGAGTTTACAATAATCCATGGAGGCAGGAATAACAAATATGAGTTGCTTAGTGTTTGGGAGAACCTAGTGTTTGTAACGTACTGGCCTACAAGTTTTCAGTGGGAGACTTTTGGTACATATTCCTTTACAGTGGGTTAGTTGGTGTCTGTTAACCAATGCTTAATGTCTTGAAGTTGAATCCAGCAAATTTATATATGCCAATTTAGTAATTTACCAACTTGTGTTTATTTGTTCTCTGCTGCATCATCAATGACCAAAGCATCCGTCTTTACTACTAATAGAATAGATGAGTTATATCAAATACATACTCTTGGTACTCTCATGATTAAGGGATGATATAAATTTCTCGTTTTGTCCTCATGCTTCGTCTTTTTTCTGTTTGTAAACGTCATTTATGTTCGTCCTCATCAAAACTAGTATGAAGCTTGACATGTTTAAGGTAATGTAGTAGGCTAACTAGGCTGCAGGCTGTAACATATTGGTATCAGCTGTCTTCTTGTTATGGGTAGAACTAGAACCTGTAGAAAGAATAGACGGCGTTGCTGACAGCAAGATTCCAGGATGCAAAACATCTCTGGCAGAACACAGTGTTTTGGGCTAGGTGTTTTATTGTAACATTTGCGCTACAGAATACGCAAAGAAGATACAGATGCGACTAGCCTCTACCTTTGCAAAGAGATTAATTTCTATTTTCTCAGTGTATTGGAAGTCAAGTAAAAGACTTGTCTTATGCTCCATTGAAATACAAATACTGGTGCCTGGCAATTTCTGACCCCTCTTTTATCTGTTATTTTCTTTATGAATCGGGTACTATAATAATGAGTTTACGTTGGTGATTTGATTGGAAGTCTTGATGCTTCTTTGGTTTTATGATGTCACCTTGTATTCTTAGAAATTTGCTAGTTAGATTCCCCTAGTATAGGGTGTTCCAGGAATGCAGGGACTTTTCAGCATCTCCATTTTCATTTTAAAAAATTTAGCTCCTGTAACCCATGGAAACATGGGTTAGCAGTGAATTGTAGAACACTCATGTATATTTTGCTGGAAAACAGCACTTCAATGCAAGAACACATCCAGCCTCTCCTTTATCACCTGTTCAGCTTACTCTGCTTCACCATTCTACCTCTTAGTCTCGTTTTCTCACCAACTTGTCCGTCCTAAGGTTTCTTTCCTCTACTTTCACTGTGCCGAATGGCACTAGACTTTTCTTTACTTCACATAACCTGAACAAAATTTCTACTTCCTTACCCTCCCTCACTACACCCGGCTTAATGTCCCTGTTTTCAAATAGTGGCTCCTGCTAAACTAGCTGTTACTTATTTCGTACTAATCCCTGGTTTCTCAACCTGAATCAATGCCTCTGTTTAGTGACTAAAGCAGCTGCCACAACAAGCTCTTTTTCCGCTATTCTATCTCCTTCATCATTAAGGTGGTATTACGTGTACAAATTAATGTAGTAGCTTATGTCTTGTGTGGCATGGGAGGAAGTTGCAGCCTGTACCCCTTCATATTTTTCCAACTGTCGAAATTTTTACCTACTATCTAAATTACTTTTGCTGGAGTCATGGTGCTTAAAAATGCTGCCCAGGATGTTGTAATCTGTTATTTTCTGCTCGATATTGGGATGATGTTTTCATATTGAGCATTGTCCTTGTATTGGGTGTGAAGTTAGAAGTCTAGCAATGATAACCGATAGCAAATAAAATGTTGAAGGATCTTTGGGCAGAAGACAAAACATGACATGAGAAGTGTGCATGGCCAGGGGCGGATCCAGCCTATTGAGTGAGGGTTCCCGTGAACCCAGTAACTTTTGCATATACCCTGTATATGTATTAAAAAATTCACTAAATATCCATAAATATTTGATTGTGAATCCAGTTACTTATTGTATATTTACTTAAGGTTGTTATAGGAACCCATAAGCTTTAAATCCTAGATCCGCCTCTGTGCATGGCTTTATAATAGCGGATTGCAATGTGCAGCAAGGGAAGGGATTTTGTTGCATGCCGTTTCATGTGTAGTTACAGCCAGCGGAGGTGTATTAGTTACTTACTAAATACTTGGTATTAAATGTAGTTAGCTTTTATGAATGTATTGCATGAGGTGTGGTTGTAGCCCTATTGCAGTTCTCTTTATAGGCATATCTGGCAATACCATCTTCCTACCTTCCATTTTCATTCTTTTTGGATAGCTCATAATCCCCGAGTTAATCCCTATTTCCTTCTTGAGCACTGCTGTTCGTGGATGATTCATTATACCGGCATCATCTGTTATCAAAGCAAGAATTTACTTGGCTATATTATGGTGAAAACAAACAAAAGTTACAGATAAGGCAGCGATGGAAATGAAGACATTCAAGGAGCTAGCTGCAGAGAGATTCTTCAATGAAATGAAGTCAAGGCAAGATAAATTGGTGGGATCCGCTAAGGCGATGGATGAAGGACAGGATAACATTGTGCATGCCTGCCCCTGGAACCAACCTATGAATGGGTTCAATCCAAATACCAAATCTCACTTCGCTTGTATCTCAAAGCTCGAATTTCCTAAATTCTCAGGAACTGACCTCAATTCCTGGTTATACAAGGTAGAACAAATTTTCTTGATTGACGACTGTCATCTTTGTTTCAAAAGCAAATGTAGTTACATCACTTTTATGGAGATTCCATCCAGCAGCATCGAGCTTATTATTGTGGGAAAATGCATCTTTACGTGAGAGGTTTATGTCCTAGCTCTTGTTGAAAGGTTAGAGTTAAGCAGGAGGATCACATGGCTGAGCTCAAACAGCTCGAGCAGACATAGAGGGCATAATGCATTATCAAGCTTCGTTTAATGGTATTATAACAAGGTATATTACCAGTAGCTTATTGTGGGATTGAAGCCGGAGTTGAGTTATTAAATCAAAATGCTTAATCCCAGAACCTTCTCACATGCATATCGTTTTGTCAAATTATAGGAGTAGCGCAGCCCAATCCAAATTATTCAAGAAGCAAACATCAGTCCTCCCTGCTCCTAACAAAAGGTACGTTCTAACCAAGCATCTAACTCCCAATACACTTTAACTTTCCACTTGTATGGCTCTTACTATTGTCGAAAGGGGTGATAGAAGGTCCTAAGAATTATACTCCTATTATTTTTCTGTGTGAATCCTCTACTCCTGAGAAAAAATGTATACATATTAAGACTCTTAAGAATTTGCAAAAGCAGAGAGAACCTTTGTTGAGCCAAAGGAACTTATGCCCTTATCTCTGTAAGCTCTGACTGGAGCTAAGAGTTATTAAATGTTGAGGGTGATAGGGCACCACGAGAAAAAGCCTGCGCCTATTATCATAGACACGAGAAGCTAATACAGTTCTTTGGATACAATCAGTATGTATGATAGATGAAAATGTTATGACAATCTCTTGTATGTGCAAAGGTCATCAGAGAATTCCAACAATTAGGGGAGACTCCATCACACCGCATGACATTAGATCCCTAGCTAGGAGCTTTACAACTAAACATCCTAGGCAACTTGCACTTAGTAGTATAATATAGGTATTTTGTCGTTCGTCCTTAAAAGTTCTATGTGTTACTAGCATCTAAAGGTTGTTTGTTTGAAAAATTAAAACTTTCGGATTCTATCTCATGTTGAATTGTCTCTTTTGATTTTTTTTTCTTTTCTTTTTTCCCTCCTTTTTTGCTATCTCCAATTAATATGCAATTTCGTCAATTACTGTTCTTTTCTTTAAAACTAACTTAAAAATGATATGTAAAAATTTTCATGTTCTTCCTTAACATTTCAATATATTGCATTTAGCTGGGATTTTTTCCGGGAAGTACTAAGAGCTACCCAAGTTATTTTGTAGAATTTTATTTTTGTTTCTCAGTAAAATCATCTTTAATACATTGTTTCCCCTCTATTCACACGATATTGAGTTGTTTCGGATGTTCTTGTCTTATGACTATTTCTTGTTTCTCTTTGATTATAGTTTGATTCCTTTCAATGATAACTATCTTACTTATTAAAAGTTTATGCTTAGGTCATGATGATCATATGAAAGTTCATACCAGACCTTCCTCTCAAGCAACTCAAACAGTTCGTAAATTTTATGTTTTCTTCACCAAATGCATCAACATAATCTTTTAAGAAGACAATGTAATGTTTCCGTATAAGGTATTACTCTTCTAAGATCGACAAATAATGAATTGCAAAGAAACCTAAAGATGACAACTAAAACATACAGAAACAGTATATATCCTAAGAATATGACGTTAAAAAAGGCTTTGGTAAATTAAAAATAAGGATTTGGTAAATAATTGAATAATTTAATAGAGCTGAGCCTGGTCTTTCTTGTCCATATAGGAATATTCTTTGATCTAGCTAATGGAGCATTTGCCTGCAGAACAATCAAAGAGCTGAAGCACTATATGAACATTAACGAATCTCCACAAATTCTGTACGGACACCGTCTCCCAAACAAAAATCTACGCGTCAAATTCTTATCTTCTTTGTCAATGGATGCTGAATTTCAGCTGTCTCTTCTTTGTTTATCCTTGTATGTTTCAGACTAGGGATTATTGGTAGATTCAGAAGCAATAAGTCAGCAAAAGAGAGACTCCCGCCAGGGCCGTGGAAGCTGCCGTTCATAGGAAAACAATTTACGAACTGGTGGTCCCTTGACCCATAGGGTATTGACAGACTTGGCCAAGAAATACGGGCCCTTAACGCACCTTCAGCTTGGAGAAATCTCTACAATAGCTGTTTCTTCCCCCGAAACTGCAAAACAAGTGTTGGAAACTCATGGCATCGTTTTTGCTTCGAGGCCTCAGAACCTTGTATCAAAGATTATATCTTATGATTCCAAAAACATTGCCTATGCTCCATACGGAGAATATTGGAGACAGATGAGGAAAATCTGCACATTGGAACTTTTGAGCACCAAGCGCGCGCGTTCAGTCGTTTTGTTCACTTAGAGAAGAAGAGTATGCAGGTCTCACCAAATGGCAGCTTCCAATGATGGTTCACCAGTTAATCTTGCAGAAAAGCTATATTCAGCTATGTCTAGTGTAATTTCAAGAGCAGCATTTGGAAAAAGATATATACAAGGACCATGAAGCACTTGTACCTGTACTATATCAAGTTATTAAATTGGCATCAGCATTCAACATTGCAGATCTCTATCTTTCCATCAAGTTGTTGCAATGAATGAGTGGACTAAGGCTCAAATTGGAGAAGTGCCATAATGAAGTAGACCGGATGCTTGAAGACATTATCATCGACCATATAGCAGCAAGGAATGGTGCCACAGCCACCAAGATTGATGATGACGACGACATGGTGGATGTCCTTTTAGAATTTCAGAAGACAGAAAATCAACTAACTAGTGACAACATTAAAGAAGTAATTTGGGTAAGCTATTTGTTTTAGATCTACTATCTCTGGTTCATATTCTGTCTTTGTATAACTAATAACCCCTTAGTATTTCTCTAAACTATCTTTTATTTCTATCTTAAACATCTCACTTAATTAACACATCTAATTAGAACAGTAAGGTGAATCTGGAAAAAAGGTAATAAATGCTTCTTGTTTTCATTCAAAACATTAACTGTTTAGGAACAATTTCCATTTGGTCAAAACCACTAATAAGTCAGGAGGCAATGATAAAAACATAAAAAGTATCTTTTCTGTGACAGTTTAAGTTTTTAGTTGATATGATCACTCATTTCAATTGCATCTAAGTCTTTTTTTCCTAGCATTAAAATTTGATATATGTTCATGTTAGGACATGTATGCATGTCAGAAATGTTAAACAATCCTAGTGTCCTAGAAAGAGGTCAAGAAGAGGTCCAACTTAAGGTGGTGTGAATGACACATACTTTGATGAATTGAAATAGCTAAAGGTCCATCATCTAAGGTTACACCCACCAGCCACTCTATCAGTCAGTTGGTAGACTGAGCAGCAAAACATGTGAGACTGATGGTCATGAAATACAACTTTTGGTGAATGCTTGGGCAATTGGAAGGGATCCAAGATATTGGGAGGATGCAGAATGCTTTAAGCCAGAGAGATTTCTCGATAAGTCGATTGACTTTGTTTGAGTTCATCCCATTTGGTGCTGGAAAAAGGATTATGTCATTTTGGTGTAGCAAATATTGAGCTTCCTCTTGCCCTTTTCCTTTACCATTTTCCCTTATGGCATGAAATATGAAGACATGGATATGACACAGGAATTTCGTTTGACTGTGGGCGGAAAACAGGATATCTTTGTCCACAAACTATTTTAGCTTTCATAATAGAGATGACTTTTCGTTTTCTCTTTCCCTGTTGTCATTTTATGGGTGGATATTGGAAAATTTTCACTCATATAATTTTAACCTATAAAAAACTGATGTGGCCTTTCTAATAATTTAATATGCTTAATAAATTGGATTAAGTGTAATAGCCTACCTTAATACAAGTTAAACGACCCAAATTCGCAAACGGTTAATAATAATTCATGATTTTATTTACAGTTTATATACATATCTTTCCCAGTCAAATTGTCTATGCAATCAGTTTTCAAAAAAAATAATAAGATTGATAAAATTTGTCCTAAAATCTATATGGTTACAAAGTTTCGAAAGACTGTTCAAAGTGAGAGTTGGGACCTTGCATCTTAAAGGTGTGAGCTTCTTGTGTTTTTTTATTCTTTCTTGGAAGAGATTTAGAGTATCAACAACTATTATTATTATTGGGATTGGAACTGATTTCCAACCGTTGTAATTTCACCTTACATATCCCAGGCGTGGAATTCCAATTCTACTAAAGCTCCTTCCTTATTTTATCTTATCGTTCCTCAATAATCTCTCATTTTTATCTTGTATTATTATTTACCAAGGTTATAAGAAGAAAGAAAATTCCTTCGTTTTTATCATGGTCCGTAAATTCTGGAGTAAGAAGGGAAAAAGTTGCTCAACGAAGTCTAACACTCCATTGGGTCAACCTCAATTTCGATAACCATATGCCAACTTATCGCATCAAAAAAATAAATAAACCAATAAAGAAACAAACAAATAAACTCAACAAAAATCATATCTCTCTATCTTTACACTCTGTTTGGATCATTGTTCCCCATTGTTTTATAATGTATTGTATTGTATTGTATCGTATGGTATCGTATTGTTTTATGAATATAATGTTTGGATAAATTGTATTGTTTGTTATTGTTAAATAATATTTTGTTGTTTGGTTTGACTGTATCTGTACTGTAACTGATAAGTTTACTAAAATACCCTCAATTATTTAAATACTAAATTTATCAAAAATTATGCATAAAAATAATTAAAAACACAAGAAGGCAAAACACCTTAAGAAAGCAGAACAAAGGAGCGAGACAGAAGAAGGCAAAACAAAGGAGCACATCTAGTTAGAATTGAGTTAAAAGCAAATTAGGAGAAAAATAAAACAGGAGGTGGCAAAATACCTTTAACGTTGGCGGCAGAAGTTGTGGAAAAAAACAAAGTAGGTTATAGGTTGGAGATTTGGAGTTAAAATAGAAAAAAAAAGAAGGTAAAGGATAAAACAGAATTGTGGAGTAATAAGTTAGGACATAATTGGAAAGAAAAATAAGAAACAATCCCACCACACCAAATCGATTGTTTCAAAAAAGGAAATTTTTCATTGTTCCGAAACAATAAATTTAACAATACAAAACAACTAATTTTAATGTAATAATCAAAATAAATATTATTCTAAGATAACAATACAATAAAATACAATGGGAACAACTATCCAAACAAGCTGTTAAGTCCGTTGAGGCATGGCTTCACACAAATTCAATAAACAAACACCCTAGGGAAAGGGCAACGAAATATGACCACAAAGTGTCGTTCTCCACTTTCTATTCTCTCACAATAACATGGATCCAAGAGACAAGACACAAAAGACAAAAACGTACGTTAGTTTACAGGAATTGTGTGAAAGTCCCCAATTTTTGTAGTGTACGAAATTGGGGACAAAATGAGGTGGTTCCCTTTTCTCCATAGTGTATGTAGTTGCATGGGGCTGCGTTTTATTCAGTGGCGGATCCAGGATTTTAAAGTCGTGGGCGCTCATTGATAAAAATTTTGAAAGAAGAGGAAAAAGGAGTTTAGTTATGGGTGTTCACTCAATATTTATTTAAATATTTTTATATTACGTATATAAATTTATTAAATCTTGTCAAAGATAATGGGTGCTTGAGCACCCAAAAACAACATATAGATCCGCCAATGGTTTTATAATATACTCTTCTCTATCCACATGACATGATATTTCTTTTTTAAGTTGTTTACGCTAGTGCTTGAATATAGATTTGATTAAAACTTAAAAAATAAAATTATGTTAAAAAATAATTTTTGAAAGTTAAAGTTATGTTTGGACATATATTTTACTTGAAAAAATATTGAAGTTTTATGAGTTGAAGAAAATGTGTCATCCAAAAACCGGCACAAACTAGGTTTTGGAACTTGAATTTTTATTTTTTCAAAAACTGATCAAATTCCATGAACAAACAATATTTTCAAAAAAAAAGAAAAAGTAGTCAAAATATATATATCCAAACGGGAGCTACATCTTTTAAAAACTATACTCTATTTTAGGGGCGTACATGGATCGTGTTAGTTCGGTTTTTTTTCAAAATCAAACCAAACTAACTATATCGGTTTGGATTAGTTCGGTTTTTGTTAGATTTTTCGGGTTTTTTTTTGGACTTTTTTGTTACATGAATATTATTTCGTTCTTACTTTGTTAAAATTGTAGATAAAGTTTTGGTAAGTGAATATATGTTTAGTAAAAATTTAAAAACACAAAAACTAACAAACATATGATCTATTAAAATATTCTTATGGCGGAATTCTTTTAGTAATACATGATAGTTATTTTCTTAGTCGTCTAACAAGAATTTTTTGTTCATGTACGTGTAGAAAATAAATGTGCGTCGAGAAAATAAAATCAAGACCGAAAATATTGCAACAATCGTAGTATTTTATTTCGAATATTTGAGTGTTACAATCTCTATGAATCCTCTAATTCTTCTTTCCAATAGTAAATAAATTCAAGGGCCTTTGAGCTTGATCTTGAATCTATATTTGCTTCCACGAACGATGATCATGTTCTTGAGCTTGAGCTTGATTGCTTGAACTTGACCTTGATTTGTTCGTCGTTCTTGAACTTGAACTTGATTTCTTCTTCGTTCTTGAGCTTGAACTTGAACTTGAAACTTCAAACTTGTGGAGGAATTTGCAGCGTTTGATCCACGAGCTCTTTCTGAACTTGAAGCTTGAAACTTGTGGAGGAATTTGCAGCGTTTGATCCACGAGCTCTTTCTTGCTTCTTGTTATATCTTCTGGTGTCTTTTCTGAGTTATGAAGACCCCTATTTATAGTTGTGGAAGGGAGGAGTTGTGATAAGAACAAACTCTTTCCGACCAATCAAATTGGAAGTGTGACATGCTTGCATTTGATTGGTCAGAACATGTGACTTGCGCACGTGGCGCGATTTCATTGGCCTTTAGTGTGACTGGGCATGCCTTGTCATTTTGACACGTGGCATAATCCTATTGGCTCTTCCGCTTAACTTGGCGCGCCACGTCATTTGACACGTGGCACCAAACTGGGCCTCTAGGAAGATGACATCTTGGGCTTAATAAAGTGGGCTCTTCACTTTAGCCTAATTAAATGGGCTAGCCCAATGGATGAAGACTTATTTATTTAATCCATATATATTGGACTTATATAATTAATTCAATCATATCAGCCCATAATATTTATTTGGACCAATATATCTCGAATTTAAAATATAGTTCAAATTATTTTATGGATTTAATTTATGTAAAATTTATATGCCTACAAATGCCCCCTACTTCAAGACTTGTTAATGTGTAGACTTCGGATCTTGAAGACGAGGCTTGAAGTAAACTTTATTGCATTCCAAGAAGATTTTTTTTTATTCATTCCACCTTAACAATGACGTTAACTAGATTGTTTCAACTTTCAAGTGGGGACTACTACTTCATATTCCAAGTCAAGAAAGGAATAATTTTTTTAATTCCAAACTTGATTTTAGCTTACTCAAGTGGAAATTCACGTGGTGCTTTTCTCTTTTTAATGCCAAAGCAGCATTATTTTGTTTGTTTGGTTGGGCTTTTTTTTCTTTTTTATCTTCCATTCACATTGCAGTAAGACAATTCTTCAATTTGATCTCCTAGTAAAGTAACATTCCCTCTTTTTTTTTTTCACGTAATGCCAAAGTTACGATCAAAGGAGTTAACTTTTTGCATGACTCTTGCTAGGACATTTTCCTTATTTCACTAGAATTATAGCACTGCGAAAGTCCCTTCCCAACATGCGTGCAACTAGGAGATGTCTGCCGCCTGGAGAACAAAGTCCTTTTAGAAGACAGATTGTATCAGCTATCCCACATCGAAATATGTTCTACGCAGGCGCCTTCTTGGAATCTATATATACTACATGCTCTTCAATTGTGAATAGCAATTCGCAGTTTGTGCAAGCTATTTGAGTCTAGCTTTGTGGATTCGAAAGCATTAACGCAAAGGTAATTTCTTCTTCTTCTCTTGTGCTTTCTTCTTTTATTGATTTCTCTTTTTTTTTTTTAGGTCAAACAAGAAGGATTTGTTCTTGTTTAACAAGATGAACCATGCAAGAAGAAGACAATCTTAGGTGTGAGGGGATAGTACTCATCCCTGCCCAAAAATATTGGAGGGATTACTTTCATGGCCCGATTCTTGGAGAGATTACTCTCAACGTGGCCCAATTCTTGGAGAGATTACTCTCAAAATGGACAGATTCTTGGAGAGATTACTCTCAATGTGGCTCAATTCTTGGAGAGATTACTCTCAATGTGGCTCAATTCTTGGAGAGATTACTCTCAAAATGGCCCGATTCTTGGAGAGACTACTCTCAATGTGGCCCAATTCTTGGAGAGATTACTCTCAAAATGGCCCGATTCTTGGAGAGATTACTCTCAATGTAGCCCAATTCTTGGAGAAATTACTCTCAAAATGGCCCGATTATCGGCGAGGCCAACTTAAGGTGCAAAGGGACTCATATGTCCACCTTAAGATTGAAAAGTTATAGTTCCTTTTAAGGACAAACCCACGAAGAGGCCAACTTAAGGTGCAAAGGGACTTATATGTCCACCTTAAGATTGGAAAGTTATAGTTCCTTTTAAGGACAAACCCACGAAGAGGCCAACTTAAGGTGCAAAGGGACTTATATGTCCACCTTAAGATTGGAAAGTTATAAAGCCTCAACTTGAAGACGACATTGACTTGAAC